ATAGACCCGTCATAGGATGTATTATTAAAATTAGTTATAGAGATGAATAATGAAAAGTAACTAAAAAAGATCTAATGATGAATTATATAATGAGCTTTATTGTGATGGTTATGAGGTGTAATTAGTATCATGTTATGTGAGAGGTTGAATAAATGTTTTGTTTAACCCATTTGGGATATGTGCATTCCATAACATTGTACCATAATTGATTTACTTAGATTATATTGACACCTATTTCTTTGCTTGATATTTGTCTTGCGTTGGAAAAATTAGCATGAGATGATGCCTTGGAAAGGATGGGGACCTTTTGGGTAGCTACAATAGTTTATTGTTATTGATGATACCAATTTGACTTTTCATTGAGATTTTATCTACTTTGGTTTTAAAAACTTTTTGGTAATGGATTTGATGTATTTGGAACTTTTGAAAGTGGTTATTTTGAAAGTTACGTAAGGTTTATGAGTTTTTTTTTTCCAAATAAACTAATAAAAATAGTTTCGTTGCAATATTCCGTTAAATGATGTTTTAAAAAAATGAATGAAAAATCACGATTTTACAATTTGGTATCAGATTCATGTTGTGAGTGAACTGAATATAAAGGCTGATGTTCAGACTCATAGTGTAGAATGACTTAATTAGGTGCATTACGATCTTGAAAGGGAGGGGTGTGCTGAGAGATATAGGGTTATTGCTTGTAACTTCATGAACTTTCCCTTCCTGAAAATTTTTATGTAAACCTAAATTCTTTGTTATTTAGGAATATGTCACTCATTGACGAGAATGCCAATGTTGTCACACCCCCAAACCAAGGATGGCGGAAACATCCGGGGGTGGAGGACTTTATGTATAGTATCATAACCACAATTGCAATAGTAATTTAAGCAAACACAACCAACACATATATAATTGAAAAAATTACATCAGTGTATGAGTTACATGTTTCCAAATCAATTACAATATGTTAACAAAAACATGATATGTAGACGCCTTAACATCCCATCGTCAAAATGCACTTTGGTACCTGTTTAGTGATTACCTGAGAATACAAGTTGTTTGCAAAAAGTGTCAACACAAAGGTTGGTGAGTTCATAAGTTTTTGTTTTCAAACTTGATAAAAGTCTTTCTCTTGTAAATGTCACGTTTGTTTCAGAAAAATCCGATATTTTCCTTAAAATTTGTGTATTGTAGTCTTATAACCGAAGACCAAAATGTATAAGTAACCTCTCTTACTAATAGAAAATGATATGTGTTTAAATCGACGTAAACGCGCTTGAAGTAAATGAAATTCCCATAAATTCTTATGTTTGTTAATACTTTCTGTGAGATTATTATAACCATGCTATGACCTAGTTGGCCTGAAATGATGTTCTTCAAGCGTCGGAACTGTTTATGACATTTGTCACCCCAGACCTGCCGGTCTAACTGTTGCATGCAGTTAAGGTGTGGGTTTGTCAAATTCCAATATAGATCTATATACAACTATCACGCTCTCCCTCTAGGAGACTCTGGTTACAATACAAGACTTAATGGTAAGTGTGAAGCGAATGTCTCACAAAGTCCTTAACGAATTTACATGTAACGTAATGAAAATCCCTTATCGTATAAATGTACAATTCTTGTATGAGTGTGTTATGTAGTGTATCATAAACCATACCTATTATATTTTATCAAAAATAAGGGTAGTAATGGTAACGTACATAATCTATATTCAACGTAGTTTGTTCATTTGTTTGAGTAAAATGGATATACTTTGTTTATAATAATCGTGTTGTCCTTTATATTTCATATGTATATCTATATCGAAATCCATTTATTAATTGTTGCATGTTCATATACCAAGATAAAATATCACTCTTTTGTAATAACACACATTCACATAAGGATATATACCTTGCTCAACATGATACAAGGTGATAATAATATGTTAGCATTTTTCTGTTTGTAACAGCTTCGATCAGTGTTATTAGAAAATTTATAAAAACTTAATAAAAGATCCAAATCAGAATCCGTAAATTCTGGGAGTTTAGTTAATTAGTCTAGTTTGTTCATAAAATTTTCCATAATTTTTAGTGACCTCCAACCTAAGTGAAAACATCCATAAATACAGACTGGTCCGGTTTGGTTCTTCAAATGATAGGCAGTTTTGCAAAAATCGCCATAAATTGTAGAAAAATCGTATAGAGATGTACAAGTAGTCATTTTAAAGCTAAGAAGTTGAAATACTTGCAAATTGTGAAGTTTTGAAAAAAAATAGTTTTAGTTGACCAAAATAGGTCGTGAGTGGAGTCAAACTTTTCTGATGTAAGCTGTTAGAAATATTTAATTGTGTTCTTGATGATTTGACTTGTATTCTCCCCCTTAAAACATAAGAAAATATGAAAATGTAGGGGTATGAAATCACCTTATGTGATTTCAGTAGATGATTGTTGAAAAATGGAAGTGATCAACTCAAGAACACTTGAAGATGCCTTGAAGATTTTCGAGAAACTAACATCGAAGTGATGGAGTTTGTGTAAGCAATCAATGATTTGAGTAGAATGAAGTGCAATAATCACAAGGAGGATGAATTATACTTACCAAGGGGAGGTTAAAGCTTGAAGATCAGCCTTGGAGTCTTGAAATAGAGAGATACAGTTTGAGAGAAAAGTTGTGTTGTATCTTTGGTGAAATGAGATAAAATGAAAGAAGTGAGGAGAGATGATGGGTTGTTCCAGCTCTAAGAACATGGGAGAGGCTGAAAATTGAGTGGGAAAGGACATTGAAGTGACCTAGGTAAGGTGAGAAGGTGTGGCTGGTCATAGAGTGGGTATGTGGGTGGTTGCTTGTGTCATAAGGTAAAGTAAAGTCAACACTCCACCTCAATTATTCACCCACTAGATTTTTATTATTTAAATAAGGATTTTCATGAAAATATGATTAAATTATGAATATTTAGGGTTTATTATGTTAAAATATGAGTTTGTGAGAAAATCCCGCGTTAACATCTCGAAAAACGGGCTCAAAATGTGAAAAATATTGAAAATGGGCCAAAAATGTCAAAATCCCAAAGTCTGGCCGGAGGTTCGGCCTTCTGATCATTGGAACCGAAATTAGAAGAGGGCGGACTGAGAGGAGAAGAGAGAGGAACGAGAGGCGAAGGGAGGACCGAGAGGCGGAAAGAGGACCAAAATTGGAAGAAGGAACCGAGAGAAGGGGAAGGAAGACCAAGACTCGGTCTCTGTTCTTGGTGGTTTTGGCTCTCGGGTTCAGTTCCAGGTCTCGGTTCTCAGGTTTCGGCTACAGGTCTCGGTTTCGGCTAGGGCAGGGAGGTTCGGTCTCGGCTGCTGGTCTCGGTTCTCAGGTTACGGCTCTAGGTCTCGGTTTCGGTTGCTAAGGGTTTCGGTTCTTTGCTGCTTTCAGTCCAAGGAATTCGGCCCTAAGAGGCTTCGGCTTTATTAAGGGTTTTTCGGATCTTTTAGGGTCTTTTACTCGTTTTAATCCCGTTTCAAGCCGTTTTTTTACCCGGTTAAGAGTCGGGATGGCCCGAAAGGCTATGAAAAGTTACGGGAACTTTTGAGAGAGATTTGGGAGAGATTTATCATACAAAGAGATATTTGGGAGAGATTTGACATTCTTAGAGAGATTTCTCATACAAAGAGATATTTAGGAGAGATTTGACATTCTTAGAGAGATTTCTCATAAAAAGAGATATTTGGGAGAGATTTGACATTCTTAGAGAGATTTCTCATACAAAGAGATATTTGGGAGAGATTTGACATTCTTAGAGAGATTTCTCATACAAAGAGATCTTTGGGAGAGATTTGACATTCTTAGAGAGGTTTGGGAGAGATTTGACAATAGAGAGAGATAAAGTGAAAACGATTGAGAGAGGTTTCATGTGTGACAATTGTGAGTGTGTGGCTCCACAACGCAAGGTCCGTGAACTCCGTTAAGCCATGATTTAGGATCTTTCACACTCCCGATGAGTATGTAACATTGTTTCATCGTTTTTGTTCATTGTTTAGCACAAGGCTAAGGAAAATTAAACACACGACTTTTTCCAATTGATGTTTTCTCATTAAAATAGTGGGTTATACAGTATTTGCATAACACAAATTTTAATATATCAGGTTTAATTGAGTTGACCGGTTTGACCTGATGACTTTGTTCGACTTAGACTTGACCCGAATTGGACTATTGTCACAGGGGTGTCGGCGGGGTTTATTATAACCATGTCCCAGACACGCCACCATTTATTTCAAACCCAACCTATTGGTCGTCAGCCATGAGCTCGGCCAACATGTAGCGAGCGTAACACCACGAGTTCCACTATCATTGCATACCTGCAGGAGCAGCTCCAGATGTGGGATGTTGAGTTGTTAAGACATGATCGAGCAATGAATTGTAAGTAGCAGACCATGCGTGCCACTGGTCTTCTACCCCCTACGAATGAGGACACAGAGGATCCATGCGAGATATGAGCCACTCAGTTACCTAGGAACCGAGAAGGGAGCTCATCATGGATCATGACGAGGATTAGGGTAGCTTACTCAGTGCGTTTACGGAACATAAGCCCCCTTCTTCCAAGGTGGAGAAGACCAGACTGTATGCATGCACTGGTTACACAAGATGAGTTAGATTTTTGTTCAGGCGACTTCATTGAATTTAAGAAAGTCAGCTACGCGGTATTGAAGTTGGATGGTGAGGCCCTCGAGTGATGGGATGCGATTGACTTGATTATTACTGAGGAAGCTCAGCATTCCATGACTTGGGAGATCTTTATCCAGAAGGTACAAGAGCGCTTTTACACTACGAGACAAATTTTCAAGATCTAGTGCGAGTTTCTATCATTGGAGAAATGGAACACGACGATTGTGAAGTACAATACTATGTATTACAAGAAGCTTCAGTTTGCGGAGAGTTATTTCCCCACTGATGCAAAGTAGGTGGATCATTATGCTGAGGGATTATCAATCGAGTATCGGGCGACTATTAGGTATCACAAAACTCTAGAGTCTTCCATGGATGAGGCTCTCAGTGTTGAAGTTGATTTGACTACACCCGGGCATTCTATTGCAAAGGTTGGGGAGAAGAGTAAGTGGGAGGGTCCATTTGAATCCTCGAGGAAAAAGAAGAAGGGTCATCAGCACAAGAAGAACGACAAGATAAATTTCTGCAAAAAGTGTTACTCTACACACAATGGACCATGCAGTGATAGTATTATGAGTTATAGGAGATGTGGTAAGTTAGGCCACAAGAAGGCGGAGTGCAAGAATGAGTTGATTTTCTATAAATGCAGGCAGATGAGTCATATGAGTGGTCATGTATGAAACCAAAGCTTAATGCTAGTGACAGTGGAAAGAAGACTGATGCACCAAAAGTGCAAGTTCAAGCCTTTCAGAGGACCACCAATGAGGCCAGACACGACGATGAGGTTATTGTCATAACTTTTTACTGTGAATGATATGTCTGTTAGAGTGTTATTTGATACTGGTGCTAGTCTATCTTTTGTGTCTCATATATTTTGTGCTCAATTTTATTACCCAGGAGTTCTCTCGGTTATGTACTAGATATCGAGGTTGCGATATGGCATTCTATCCATGTTCGGGACAAGTATGATGGGTTTTCTATAGTTTTGTTTGGACACATTTTCATGTGACCTTGATTCTGATCCAGATCCATTCGTTCAATGTTATCATACGTATATATTGGCTGTCTATGAATCAGGTCGAGGTTCTTTTTTTGACAAGCACATTTGTATTCTAATTTCTATAGTGGATCATATCTATGTTCGTGGGGAAAATTCCTTAGGGTCTCTTCCCATTATCTTAGTGATGAAGGCACGGAAGTGTATCACAAAGGGTTGTATGGTTTTCTTGGCTCATGCGGCAGAGAGTCTGAAGATGACTACGAGTCTCTCTAATGTGGAGGTGGTTAGGGAATATGAGGATGTTTTCTCTGATGAGTTGTTGGGTTTACCACCATCACGTCAGGTAGATTTCCAAATATATCTTGTTTTGGGTATGGATCCAATAGCTAAAGCACCCTATCCGTTGGATCCTTCGGAAATGAAGGACTTGATGTCACAACTTTAGGAACTTCTAGATCGTGGGTTCATTTTACCGAGTTCCTTGCTGTGAGGAGCACGATTGCTCTTTGTGAAGAAGAAAGATGGTACCATGAAGATGTTAATCAATTATCGGGAGTTGAACAAGGTTACTATGAATAATAAGTATCCTATCCCAAGGATTGATGATCTTTTTGACCAATTGTAGGGTGCTAGTCATTTTTCAAAGATTGATTTGCGATCAGGATATCATCAGGTATGGGTCAGTGAGCAGGATATACCCAAGAAGACATTCTGGACACGCTATGGACATTATGATTTCTTATTGATGCCCTTCGGATTGACGAATGCTCAAATGGTTTTTACATAACTGATGAATCTTTTGTGCCATCCTTTCTGGATAAGTCTATCATTGTTTTCATCGATGACATACTCGTGTATTCTCAGAGTACCGAAGATCATTGGAGGCACTTTCAAGAATTTCTAGATGCATATCGGAGATCGAAACTGTATGAGAAGTTCTCGAAGTGTGAATTATGGTTTAGGGAGGTCCAGTTCCTTGGACACATAGTTGGGTTAGAGGGGATCAAGGTGGGCCCAATAAATATTGAAGAGGTTAAGAAGTGGCCGGTACAGAAGACTCCTGCTGAAATTTACAGTTTCTTGGGTTTGGCGGGTTATTATCAGAGGTTCATCAAGAATTTCTCAAAGACTGCAGGTACTCTGACCAAATTGACAAGGAAAGCGGAACCATTTATCTGAACCAACAAGTAGGAGGAGGAATTTCAGACCTTGAAGGGTCTTCTGTGTGAGGCTCCTATTCTTTCTCTACCCGAGGGGAATGAGGACTTTGTGTTTTACAGTGATGAATTATATTCGGGATTGGGATGTGTGTTGATATAGAGAGGGAATATGAAGAACAAGGTAATCCAGCTAGTGACAGAAGAGCTACGCTGACAGGAGGCGTTCGGACTTGGAGTTCCAGGTGGGAGATATGTTTCTTCTGAAAGTCTCACCTTGGAAAGGTGTCATTAGGTTCCGGAAGAGGGGCAAGCTGGGCCCCAGATTTATTGGTCCTTTCAGGGTTTTGGCCCGGGTGGGTCGGGTTGCTTATCGGTTAGATCTTCCTGAGGAGCTTAGTCAGATCCACAACACCTTCCATGTGTCGCAGTTGAGGAAGTGTTTGGTGGATGAGTCAGCAGTCGTTCCCCTAGAGGATATTCAGGTGGATAGCAGCCTGAATTATATTGAAAGGCCGGTCGCGATTCTGGATCGGAAGACCAAGACCTTGAAGAACAAGGTAATCCAGCTAGTGAAGGTACAGTGGCAACACCGGAAGGGGTCTGAATGGACGTGGGAGGCTGAGGAGGAGATGAGAACGCACTACCCGGAGATATTTACAGATCCAGCCGTAGCAGACTTCGAGGACGAAGTCTGAGATAAGTGGGGGAGAATTGTAACGACCCGTTCCCGGTATGTTAATTCATTAGTAATTGTTTTAAAGTTTTGTAAGAGGGACTCGGCGAGTTCATAGCCTGACTCGCCGAGTAGGGTCGCGACTTCGAGCACGTGTTAGCTAGTGACTCGGCGAGTCCATATCCTGGACTCGGCGAGTCCGTCCGTCTGGGTGAAACCCTAAATCCCCGGGTTGCCCACTATTTAAGTCACCTTATAGCCCCCATTCTCGCCTCCTTCACCCTATAAAGCTGTGAGAAAACCCTAGTTCATCCTTGAGAGTTTGTAAGTGATTTTGTGAAGGCTTGAAGAAGGAGAAGAAGAAAGGAGCAAGGAGAAGAGGTGGAGTGCCAAGATCCAAGGGCAAATCTGAGTTATTTGAGGTATTTTCGGATTTCCCCTCTTGTTTTATGCTTTAAACCTCCATTAGAACTCTTCTAAGAACTAGTTGATGCTTGTTCCAAGCCTTGTGCTTTCATGAACGCCCTAATAAGCCGAGATAACCTTGGATCTATTCATTGAGAAGTCCCATAGAACAGATCTATTGCCTTTATGGGGATACTTCGCATATTAACCCTAGATCTATCCCTTTTATGCATCTTTTAGCCTTATTTTCCCTTATTCATGTGTTGTATACGTAAAGTTGGAAACTTTACGTGGTAAACCAGCTTATTGGACTCAGATCTATAATTTGTATGTGTTGGATTCAAGCAAAATCGGGTGAAAAACAGTTGCATGGCGGCAACTCAGCGAGTCGGGAAGAACGACTCGGCGAGTTGAGTCGCGAGTCCCCGATTCCTTCATTTTTAGCAGTGTTGAGTGGAACCAATGAGTTAGAAAGTGGACTCTGCGAGTTCAAGGTAGACTCAGTAATGGAGGGACTCGGCGAGTTGTTCATACAACTCGGCGAGTCCAAGGCAATCTTCTTAAGATCAAGAACAACTCGTTGAGTACGTTCATACGGCTCGGCGAGTCGGATGAAGATTGTCTGAGTTCTTGGATCAAGAAGGTACTCGTCGAGTCGATGCCATACTCGACGAGTAGCAGCGAGTAGGATTGAAAAGTGAGAGTAGGACTCGGCGAGTTGGGTGGCCCAACTCGACGAGTCAGTCCAGATGAGAGTAACTTTGACCAAGGGTAAAAGAGTCATTTTACCCAAGTGCAGTGTTTAGTATTTGATTGAGTGTGTTTATGGACTTGTAGCCGGAGAGATACAGGAGCAGCAGCCGTTAGCTTCCAGAGCCACACACTCAGCAGCCAGTTTACGAGGTGAGTTTCCTTCCAGTAGGGACGGGTCTAAGGCCACAATGCCGGCCCGTTCAGTTAGCAGTAGTTTCCGGACTTTGATCCGATGCAGTAGCTAGTATGTTTGATGCCTTCGTGGCTCAGACAGGATTTGTGTGCTATGTTTTATGTGTTATGTATTATGTGTTCCGGGCTACGGCCCGATGTAGTATGTAGTATATGTGTTCATGCTAGTTGTTATGTTATGCTACGCTATGCTCAGTCAGTTAGTTCCGGACTTCAGTCCGATGCAGGGGACAAGGTCCCAGTCGGTTCCGGACTTTGGTTCGATGCAGTTAGTTCTGGACTTCGGTCCGATGCAGTTAGTTTCGGACTTCGGTTCGATGTAGTTAGTTCCGGACTTCGGTCCGATGCAGATAGTTCCGGACTTTGGTCCGATGCAGGGGACAAGGTCCCAGTCAGTTCCGGACTTCGGTCCGATGCAGTTGCCGGGCTTCGTCCCGATGCAATGGGCAAGGCCCAATATGTGTTTATATGTTATTGTATGGTATGTGGTAGTTTGGGGGAGCTCACTAAGCTTCGTGCTTACAGTTTCAATTTTGGTTTCAGGTACTTCCGCAAGCAAAGGGAAGAGCTCGGGGTGACGGCATCGCACACACCACAGCTTTAGCTTTTAGCCTGGGATTGATTTAGTTTGTTTTGATTTGACGTAGTATGATACAGTTTTCTGCACAGTGTTTTCTATTATGTTGGAATACATCACGTATGGTTTTATTATATGACACTCTGATTATGGTTTTGATTATATCGAAAAACGAAATTTTTGGGTCGTATTTTTGGGTTGTTTCAAAGAGTCTGCAACATATCCAAAATCAAAAAGAATTTAATGTGAGACAACGATGTTGGGTGGAGTTATTAGTCGGTTATGACTATGAGATTGGTGCTCTAAGTCGTAAGGAACCTAAAGGGGCTTATCACCTTAAATAATGGGAGTGGTAATGGTTCCATTCATTTTTAAGCATATTCGATCTGCTCAAGAGGAGGGTTTGAATTAAGATCATATGAAGGAAAAAGTTATGGTTAAGCAGCAGGCCTTATTGGTAAATGATGATCGGGGACTTAAAACCTTTTGAGGCCGACTCTAGGTCCATAAGGTGGGTGGTATGTGTGATACATTGTTATGATACACATATAAATCAAAGTATTCAATACATCTGGGAACAACAAGCATGTATCGGGACCTGAAAGCTAATTATTAATGGCAAGGAATGAAGAGAGAGGTTGTGAAATATGTAGTTAAGTTTGTGACTTGTGCTTTAGTCAAGGTTAACCACCAAAAGCCTTATGATGCGTTACAATAGCCTGAGATTCCAGAGTGGAAGTGGGACAAAGTTACGTTGGATTTTGTCATAAAGTTGCCTAAAACCTCATGAGGCAACAATATGATATAGGTGATTGTAGATATGTTGATGAAGAGTGCACATTTTTTGAAAAACAAGAAAATGAAAAGCTAGAGAAATTGGCGAAGATATACGTCGATCGTCACGAGGGATGGTGTACCATTATCCAACATTTCTGTCTATAACATCCATTTTGTATCGAGGTTTTGGGAGAAGTTATAGGAGGAGTTGGGTACGAGGGTGCATTTGAGTACAACTTATCACCCTCAGACTGATGGGGTAGAGTGAGAGAAACAT